GTTCCCACCGTCATTTGGTAATCGTTACATCTTGGTAGCCGTTGATTATGTATCTAAGTGGGTCGAGGCAACAACTTGCCCCAGGAATGACAACAAGGTGATAACAAAATTTGTGAAAAAGCATATTTTCACCGGGTTCGGGACACCCCAAGCTATTATCAGTGATGGAGGGGCTCATTTTGTGAATGCAAGTTTCAAGAATTTGCTAGCTAAGTATGGGGTGCGGTACAAGGTAGCAACAGCGTATCATCCCCAAACTAGTGGACAAGTGGAGGTGTCGAACAGAGAGATAAAGAAGATTCTACAGAAGACAGTGAATGCACAACGAATTGATTGATCAAGCAAACTCGACGATGCGTTGTGGGCTTATAGAACTGCGTAAAAGAAACCCATTGGGACTTCTCCGTACAGATCGGTCTATGGAAAGGCATGTCATCTGCCTGTGGAGATGGAACATCGAGCTTTTTTGGCCGTGATAAAGTTGAACATGGATCCGGAGCTAGCAGGGAAGAAGAGCCTGATGCAACTCAGCGAACTTGATAAGTTTCGAAGGCATGCTTATGAAAGTGTCAAATGCTACAAGGAGAAAACGATGAGGTGGCACGATAGGCATATGGTGCATCGGATCTTTGAGCCGGGGAAGAAGGTGTTGCTATTTAATTCGAGACTGAAGCTTTTTCCAGGTAAATTGCGGTCCAAATGGTCAGGTACGTTTGAAGTGGTGAGAATGACCCCACACGGGGAAGTGGAGTTGTGGCAAGAAGATAGAAGTGCCAAATTTTTTGTTAATGGGAAATGATGTAAGCATTATTGGGGTGAGGACGTTATTCGAGAGAAGACGTCCATCACTCTAGAGGATGAGTGAGCATGAATGGCGTCGAGCCGTGATGATAAATCAGGCGCTGCACGGGAGGCAACCCGTGAATGTGTTGTAATAGACGAGTACAACTATTTGGAAAAGAAAAAAAAAGAGAAAACAAAGAAAAAGAAAAATAAAAAGTTTTTGTGTTGAAACCTATGATGTATAACTAATTTTTTGTGGTGAAATGATTTTCAGGTGGAAGGGAGGGCAAAAATACAAAAAAGCACAAAGGAAAAAATTGAGGTAAGAAGATAAAATTGGCACATTAAAGTGAGCCTACGCGATGGCTCCGTGTCACGGAGGAGGGCCTCCGCGTTACCCTCCGTGACACGTTGAGGCCTATTTTGGATTTTTTAAAAATCCAGAATGCCTGCGTGATGGCTCCGTGTCACGGAGGCAGTGCTCCGCATTGCCCTCCGTGACACGTTGAGGGTTATTTCGCGTGGGTCACCTCGG